CAGTAAAAGTGTCCAATTGTGAAGAATTTTTATCTCCTACCTTTGAAAACTTTCAATTTCCAAAAAGTACCAAGTGCTTACAATTTTTGTTCTCTTTTTTTTGTATTTTTTCTTCTTACTATTTTCCGCATAACATAGGTTACAAAATATTGCTTTTCTCATTCATTCAATCTTTATTCTCCTGTTCTTGACATAGGTATGCAACTTTCACATTTCGCTGCTACTTATTACAAAATGTTTAATCAGCTGTCTGCTGATGGAAAGTCAACGATTTGTGTTTGTCCGTTTTCTGCGGTTAATCCTACACTTTGTGGTTTTTGGTTATCATAGGCAATAACATGAGGCACATTAATGTAGACAAATTAAGATAATAGGCCGGGCTACTCCAAATCACACTTATTTGCTAGACTGGAAAATAATAGCTTGAATTTCCTCAAGCTTACCAATCTTAAACTTAGAAGATTCTAGCAAGATTGATTTACTTTCGGTTTTGTATGCCAGAGTTATTACCCATATTTCAGTTAATGTATACATTTAGAATATTCTGAGTGATAAACAACATTCTAAAGACGACATTGTCAAAACAAAGTTAACTAAATTCTCTTTGTTACTATTAAGAGTTCCGCTCAAACTTCTTTCGATTTATCTTCGAACAAACCATAACTTTTTTTAACCAGTATTTAACAGATAACTTTGAACAAGTAATTATAAGGCAAACTTATTCAGAAACTATAAAGAATGAAATTAACAGAGAAGAAATAAGCAATTTGAATCAAAGTGAGAAGAGAAAATGAGATTTTATAGGAGAATAAAGTTAGCAATATGTAGCTGCTAATGACAGTTCAAATAAGAAATAACTTAAGAAAGCAATTTAAGCGTATATATCAATTTATATATCAAACAACGAAACAGAATCATATAATTTCAATTGTAATTGCACATCTGTTGCAGAATTTTAATATCAGGTCTTCAATAGTGTAATAAAAATTTGATATCGCATAACTCGTATCAAATTCGAATCGAAATTTAAACTTGCCGTTTCAATGGTCATTTCATAAAGTTGTAAAGATAATGCAAAAATTTATGTTAACTTGAGAAATTCTAAGAAATTGGGCAGTAAATTATGTGAAATAAGTTTCACAAACAATAATTTCAACAGTAAAATTGCGTGAGGTAAACATAGAGAGAGTGATCGTTTAATACTTAAAGAATTTAACCGATACAAAAAACCGTTTACGTAGTGGTAATAAATTCAGTAAAGAAGTGAGATTGATAAAGAAGGTCGTATAGAAAACCTATAGCTATATTACTATAAACAATTTTTAGAATGTTTATAATATTACTTTTGTTCATTGGTATGTAAAGAAATTGTGTCTGTAGCAGTACCTTCTGCGTAAACTTATTTTTGCTAACGTTTCACAAAGCGTACTTCTTCGTGTACTTCAGATAAAGCTATTTTAGCTTCACAAGCTAAAGAATCAGAAACACAATCCAAACTGACGAAAGAATAAAAAAGGGCAAAGACAGCCTCTCTGCTATGCAAGCACCAGTTTGGCTTAGCTTCAGTATCTAAATTAAAAAAGACGAATAGAGTAACCAGTATTGCAGGTTTTTTTGTGAAACTGCGCAGAGATAATCCATAAATTGCACGGATTTTCAAATGAATTTTGGTTAAAATCACCAAAATTCCTTCAATGTGCAATATAAAAATACAAAACACTTCGCCTCCAGCGCATTGCTGGAAAAATCGCTTGCACAAACTATTGGTATGGATGAATAATCCTGCCTCTGACAGCTGGAGTTTGACCACAGCTCAGCTCCAAAACGGTTTTTTAATGAACAAGACCTTTGTTGCGCATTGAAACTACTGCTATTAAATGTAGCAGGCATAAACTGCATACCTCTGGCATGTTTGCTGAGAAAAAAAGATATTCCTCCAAATTTACAAGCCTTTACAGTTTTCAAAATTTACTGAGGTGTACAGCTACCGGAGTTTCTTCGCCAATTTGGAACGTTTATTCAGATGTTCACTTCTCTGTTGATGCTCTCTGGGGAATCGAGTAACGGTTGGCACTTCTCGAATGCATATTTAAATTTGGTATTCCTTGAAAAACGGTTATTTCTTAGTTTTGTTATAACGCCTAGCAGAAAGCCTGTGATTTATTTTTTTCATTTTAATACGTTTCAAATTCCCCTTTTGCAAATCAGTTCCAAGGCTTGCTTGAATGTGACAGAAAAACAGCTATACCAAGTAATAAACCACTTTTTCTAAAAATGTGACTAAGTTTTTGGCAAAAATTGAAACTGCACTTTTTGTACCAAGCTGCAAATATAACATAAAAGAGGCTTCTAACTCACCTACCTTTAAAAATAATTTTTATTTCAATTACAACAGATAGACACTTTCCTCATGTAAACTTTCCTTCCTCCTTTTGTATGTTTTCCATTCTACATCAAACCTTCAATGCTTTCAACTCTGATTCCTGTAAGCGAAAAACACTCGAGACAGAGAAAACTATGCTGTTTTGTTACCACTTAAGATTATTTTTCAATTGGAAATGACCATTCTCCTTGTCCCACAATAAGCAGGAAATAAGCTTTTTATACAACAGAAATCTTCTCGCATGTAAAGTAGAATCTGCTTCACATTGCCTAAGAGCACTATAAAGTATGAAATTTTTTCATGTTCAACAATAACAAGAAATTAATAAGCACTCAAGA